TAATGTCAGTTGTATTATCGTTCCTCATAATGAAGAATATTTTCAAACTTTATACAAATTTCTTTTGGTACTGTATTTTAGTATTACTCCAATATGTAATTTAGTTTCTTGACAGAAAGTAAGTCTTGAGTATGATATATCAGTTGTGAATATGACAATTTCTACCATTATCTGAGAATTCTATTTCTGAATTAATAACTATAACTAAAATTAATCCTAATAATTAATTAACTGTAATTAAGTACAATGGATTCTATCGTCTCAAAAACGTTTTCTTATTATTTGGAAACTAACAGTTACTGAAAGTTATTATCTGAAAATTTTACTGATTTTTATATTTATCACAGACAACTGTGATACACAAAACCCAAGTTTCGTCGTTCTTTGAACGCAAATAAATGAATTGGCCATTGTTATCTCTCTCGTTCTATCTCTCTAGTTTAAAGGTCAAGCTTTTTCTACTAGTTTTCTAGTCGTCTCGAGGCTGTTAATTATCAATCAATTTATGGTTAATGAAGGATGCGAGAAGATTCAATGGAAATTATATTCTTTAAAAAGGTGTTGCATGATGGTATCATGGCGGTGAATAATCGAGGGTATCATCTGGTTGGTATTTGGGCTACGCCCTTTCAACCCCTTTCGAAATTCAGGTATATACATTCCCATTGTACAATGAGGGAATGTATAATGCCAGAGGGAAGAAGAAAAATTGAAATTCGTATAGTGTGTTGCCAACTTGACACAGAATTCGTAAAATCGATGCTTCTTTTTCGTTTCTTACTTTAGTCTCATCATCCTCGTTGACTTTAAGCAAAAGCACTTGGTTCTTCGACCTCTAGGAAATTCGTATGAATAATGTTTCTGTAAATTATGATATTTAATTCTTCGTTCAGAAAAATATTGAATACAAAATTGATATGTTAAAAAATGCAATGTTTGCATAGAAATAATTGCAATTTTTATTTTTTTCGTTAGCTTTCATATAAAATTTCAATTTTCAGTTTTTAATTCTAATATCTAATTATAATTATTTTTCCTTAATTTTTCGTTCCTCGTAGTATATAAATACTTTTAAAATTTACAAAAACACATTCAATCTTTATTATGACGTAAATTTAATTTCCCTTGAATTTCACTAATGTTTCTTCTTTCTTTTAATTTCTCTTAATTTTTCATAACGTTTAAAAATGTAGAAATATAAATAAGGAATCTCCTTTACTCTACAAATATTTTTCAATAGAAAATTTATGATTTTCTACAAATTTATCTTTATTATATAAAGTATTTTATTATTTAATTATATCTACTCTGTATTTAATCAATAATTAAGTGTATCATTTACGACAAATAAAAGCTTCGTCAGCTTTAGAAATCAGAAACGTTCTCAGCAATATTTTTTTAACCGTGCTACAATTTCCAAACTTTTATATTCCAATCTCACTCTTATTTCAACAAACAGAAAGACATCCAACGTTTTAGTAGAAATATTGACTTAAGAATATATCCATGAAATGACGTATAATATCTAGCAAATAACGAAAAATTGTGTCGAAATAAATGAAAACAAAATAATTGATAATAACTCGGAGTACAACTCGTTGACTTTAAGCAAAAGCAGACTTGAAAAGGAGACCTCAAAATCGTGATATCGATGTACGTAACGCATTGTTCTTTATTAATGCCTTTATTGCCTTGGTGGACGATTAATACGCTCTTCTTCAATGTCGCACTCGAAAAAGCAGTCGTTGACGATGTAATTTTTAATACGACGAACAGTTCTGTGTACATATACGACAGGCCCGAAATAACGAGCTTTTGAGTTGTCGGTATCAATCGCCGTCCCCTATCATATCGATATATCAAACGAGCAGACGTACGTATATTTTTGGCGAATCGCCTCCGTGTGAAGATATACGCAGAAAAGAAAAATCATTACTCTGTCGTTCCTTTTTTTTTTTTTTTTTTCTTTCGTTCGTTCAGATTCTGCTACCTTCAGGAGAGCATTACGAAACAGCTGGAGAAATCAGCTTCGATCCTCCTCCAGCGATACAGGCGCTTCGTTATCTAATCAATTTGCATGATTGCATAAATGAAACGGCTATTCGACGATTATCATCTTGCCTTGCATTCGCTGTTTGTAGCTTGGATTACGGATTAATGACATTGATCGTTGTCACAGATCCACTCACGTCGTTCCGTTTGCAATGCACGATTTTTTTAATGAAGATTAAGTAAGAAAAATACGACGATAAAGTTAAATTTCGTTAATATTTTGATCTTCCGTATTAGTTGATGGCTGAGAAGATGCGTTTTAACACAGTGTGAAATAGTTGGAGAAACTTTTCCAAAGTTGGTAATAAATTTACAGTGTTTTATAAAACACGAATATTAGTTTTGATTATTATGGTAGTTTGATTTAATTAAGTTGAATTAAATACGACAGTCTATAGAATTAATATTATTAATATTTTTTGCCCTGAGAAAATTTATGTTTTATGTAATTTCACACAATATGAACGCGATAAATATTATTTATTTTCTGTCTATCATATGTGCGAAATTGTCTAAATTTTTTCATTTGCTCTAGGAATTGAATAATTTTGAATGTTCTTCTATATTAGTTATCTGTAATTATATTTATTCAAGTTATCCTTGAATTTATCGTCGGTTTTTAAAAAATAATATATATCAGTCATTTTTCTTTTCAATTCATTTTCAAGTCATGTTAAAATCTTCTTATCGTGTTTCTGCTGTGTAGTCTTCAATTTTTTTTCTCTGTCAGTGGAAACCTGAAATGAACATACGATGTTTGATTGATTCTTGATTAATTAGATTAAGTTCATTAACATTATTCGCATTAGTCTAATATTATTCGAAGTTTAGATTGAGATTAGAAAATTAAAATTACCAAACTATAACTAAATTAATTAATAATTAAAATTAATATCGATTTATTTATATAGAGGCACAATTGCATTTTAATTAATGTCACTTGAATTATAATAATTTCTAGTATTAAACGTGAAATACAAAATAGACATACATGTAATCGGCAAGAAGAATAATAGATGATTTTACAGCGTTGAATGATGAAATTCACATTAATCTAACATCATTCAAAGTTAACTATCAATGTTGACTAGGTCGAAGTTTAATCTTTAATCTTACTACGTTCAATTTTTATATGTTTTAATCGGACATTCACATTTCAAAAGAGATTTTTCATGTTTTCATTGTAATAGCAAATTTTAAAATTCAATTTTCTCAAAAATTCATTTTACGACTCATTTTTGTTCCTTGTTGCATAATCATCAAACATTTTAGTCTTATCCTTTTGATGAGGGATCGTCTCCTCACGGATGATCATCAATTCGACTGAACTAATCAATATAAGTATTGATACAAGGAAATTTCCAATATTCCCAATATTACAATAACAAAAAGTTGTCCAAAATTTCCAACTGTCGTAGCAATTAGAAATAATAACGAGATAATAAGAAATATACTGCAACAAGAAGAAATGTCCAAGCTATCGACAATTTGGAAAGATCTTGTTTTCCTGTTTCTCTCGTCCACTGAAATATCCAAGCGTTTCATAAATCTTTCGAAAGCAACGCGAAACACACACAAGTGTTCTTTCCTCCAATTTCCCATCCGGAACGCGTTCCTCGCTTGCACGAGCGCGATGAAAACGCTGGCCGGCGTAAAAAATTCATGCGGCTGAGCTGCGGGCGCATCAGCTCGAAATGATCGCATGACACATTCATGTCAGCCCGCGGTCGCCTAGGAAAACTGGGTCAATATTACGGCGTCGCGGCGACACGCGCGTCCACGTCGAATCGTTTTTCAGGACAAAACGCGACGTACATATACACGCCGTACTTCGCCGGGTACAATGGAAAAATTTCCAATTGAAATCGCGAGGCTCCGGAGCCGGATGGACGCGCTTCCGCGACGTCGTTTCGCGTGCACGTCGTGCAAATATAGTGTCATCGACAGCGCGTTAATCGAAGCGGATCTTTTTTACCGTGAAATGTATGGCCGCGCTTGCGCGTACGATCATTCCTCCTCACGAATCCGCGCGCCGTGAAAAAAGAAAGCAGAAAGCGTGTCGAGGAATCTCGGACTGAGCGAGTACAAATCCCGCCCGTTTCTGTTCTTCTTGGCCTTTGCTCCACTGACGATTAGCTTCGGACGTTTTTCTTCTGGACGCGTAGAGTCCTCGAGTTCGACGTGGTTTCATATGTGGATGTTGCAGGACTGCTTGCAGAGTGTTCTGGAGTTTATTAGACTTGTGGGGAAAAAAATACTCGCGTATTCGTGGAAGTTTGACAATTGAATCCTTTCGTCACTGAACTCATCGTTCTGGCAGCAATTGTAATTTGAAAGATTGGTTAATTTAGATCTTTTTTTTTTTTTTTTTTTTTTTTTATTTTGTTTGTCATTCTCTTTTCTTTTTATTTTCTTTAAACCTTCTGAATTCTGGTGAAAATAGTTAGGTTCATCGCTAACCGCGTAAGTTTAAGCAAGGAGAATTAACGATAAAGAAATTTTATCGAATAAAAGGAGAACGATTATCAGGACTATCGCGGTGTAAAAGCAACAAATGATGAAAGCAATAACAATATGGATAACAAACAATTTGGGGAAGAAAATGAAAATGTATTGCAACAAGGATACGATACGATGACGACTGAGTGTAAAAATGAACATTTGCTGATATCTGGCAAAGCGAACTTGCCAGAAGAATCAGAGGGGAGAAAAGAAGGGGAAAGAGAGACAAAAAAAAAAAAAAAATGAAGAAAAAAAAAAGAAACAAACACTTCCCCAAAGAAAAAATTTAAACGATGCGCGTTAGCCACTTACCTTTCTGATTTTCACCATGATAACTATTCAAGGAAAGTTTCAACGATAACATGAACAAAGAACGTTTAAAATCGAAGTAAAGAACGGAATATGAACAAACTGGAAGAAATGCGAGATTTTATTCGAATTTATATACTGAATATATCGAATCAATTTCTAGTGATGTAATAGTTCAGACATGCATGATAACATGATATAATGTTCGCGAAATGATTTCTCACCTTGCACACGTTCGTCGACGTCGTTATTTCGTTTTTCATGTTATTTTGAGTGTATTGTTGATGAGGGCTGTAACTGTCATCAACATCCGTACTTTCAAACGCCTGTGGGAAAGTATTGGCAGTACTGACAACATTGCCATCCTCGTGCTCGACCACGGTTGGCATGGGAGGCGCATTCTCCCAAACTTTCTTCACAGACGCGATTTTTAAATTAAGCTCGGCAGTAGAGGGCGAAATAGTATTTTGGCCAGTGGCCATGTGCATCGACCGGGTCATCCCCAAGCTCTTGCTTTTGTCCTCGGTCAGCTGGGAGAGGTCCGAATCGAAAGTGAAGTCCAATTTCATATCCGCGTTGTCCTCGTTCTTGTTGAACGACAGAGGCATCTGAATAGGCTCTTGATTCTTGTCCTTTATCAAATTATCGTTTGGTTTGTTCGAAAACGCTACCGGCAGACTTTGCTGTTGCGGCGGCTGCTGCTGTTGTTGCTGTTGCTGCTGCTGCTGCTGCTGCTGTTGCTGTTGCTGTATTGTTGCAGCGGCACTGCCTTCTTCCTCCAAGTCGGCGCGTTTCTCCATGCGTTGTTGCTGCGTTTTCATGTGATTCGGAAATTTAGTTTTCACAGCTAGATCGGACGGGCCAGACTTGGTGGTTTTCGAGTAATTCGTGTTTTCGAATATTAACGTTTGCACGGGCGGCGAGGACACGTCGGAGACCGAACCTTTCTCTATCAGCTGGTCCTTCAAACTTTTCCCAACGTTCTTCTCGCCGTTTGGCGAATTCCGTTGGCTGCTGTTGCCAGAGTTCATTTGCTCGTTAACTTCGTGACTGTGAACGTGGCCGTGATCGTTCTGCGTGGATAAGCCGGGTATCAGTTGAATGTCAGCGGGTACAGCTGACGGAGAATTCGATTGTAACTGGCTCGTTGTGAACGGCTTGTCCCAAGCGTTCACAGACGGCGGAGGTGCAGGGCCGCTGCTCGACGACTCTTTACCAAAGTTACTCGACGAATTGTTGATTTTCGTCGCGTCGTTTGGCTCAGACGCGCACATTTGTTGTTGCTGTTGCTGTTGCTGCTGCTGCTGCTGCTGCTGCTGCTGCTTGGCTAATCGTTGCTTTTGGAATCTAGGCGCCAGTTTTTGGCTTCGCGAAGTTCTGTCGTACTGTTTCTGTAACATACTTGCGGATTGTGGAATGGCTTGACCAAGCATAGGCGGTATAGTTTGAACTTGTTGCAACGAAGTTGTTTGCTGTGAACCGCCGTTTGCTTTCGACTTGGAACGATCCCGCTGCTCTCTATCCTTCTCTTTTTCACGCTTCAGAGGTTTCGTCTCCTCCTTTTGGCCGTGTCTCGACTCTTTCACGTTTTTCTTGGAACGAACTTCTTGGAAGCCATCCGAGTCGACTTTGTCCTCGACGATGCTAGGACCGTCCTCCGTGCAGTTACTCGTTTCCATTTCGCAATCAATTATCGCTTTTTTCTCTTTCCCCTGGGATCTTTTGTTGATGTCGTTGAGAGCTTGATTAACCAAATTCGAATCGGTTAACTTTATCTCGTCCATACGATTCACCGTACTGTCTTTCGTTAACGATTTACCCGAACTCGTCGAGTTACCGCCAGACGTTTGATTTCTCGATCTTCCGTTTTGTACTTGAGTCGCCTGTATCAACGGCGGAATGCTGCTGGAATGATTCTTTTGACCGACGAAACTGGAATTCTGCAAGTTTCGTTTCTCCGCGCCGGGGGCCCGGGACGACGCTGTATTGGAAGACTTGACGTTTTTCTCGCGTTGCTCGCGGTTGTTCCCCGCCTGTTCGTTTCTACGGGAATGGATGTTCGACGCTACATTTTGATTACTACCCGTGCTTGCGCGTACGGAGAATTGCTTGTTACGATTGTTGCGCGACTCCTTGTGGTCCTCCACGTGATCCTCGCTGTTCTCAGACGTGGTTTCCCAATCTTCGTTCCCTACGTCCGAAGACGTTTGCTTCGATATGTTACTACCGCTGCCGCGGTAACGCAATTCACGATTATCTCTACCCTACAAACATCAACAACGAGTTCAAATGTAAATCATCATCAGTTAGTTACTTAAATTGTTTATTAAGAATTATATTAAGAAGAGGCGGGGCAAAAGACGAAGAAGGATGGAACGAAGGGACGAAGAAACACTTACCCTCCTGCTTCCACTGCGTGTTCTCTTTGAGCGCGACTCTTCTTTCCTCGTAACTTGCATCTTTTGAGACAATGCGTTGCTGCTCGCATGGTTCGCGTCCTGTTTATTGGACTGCTGTTGAGACTGCGACTGAGACGACTGTTGATTCGGGGATTTGGCACGTTTTCCAGTTATTCCGGCGGTGAGTGCTTGCTGCTTCGCTATGATTTTATCGTCGGCGGATTCGGCCTGCGACGGCAGCAGGGAATTCATCTCCTTCTCCGGAGTGGGCGTTGACGGATTTTGTTGTCGCATGGGGTTTGGTTTCTCGTCGACGTTGCGCTCGGAGGAAAAAGGGCTCTTGCTAGACGGGGGCCCGTATCCCTCCATGCGGCTGCCGGTGGCAGTTGTACTTCGGATTCGGAAACTGCTTCCTCGACCGCGGCGAGACGGTTCACCCGAAGGGGCGAAACCTTCGCGATTCAACTTACTGTCGTACGTTCGCTTCTCGCTACGTTGCGACTGAGCGTAATCGGCTCGTTTCTCATCTCGACCGGACGGCGCCATTGCTTCGCGGTTGCGTTCCTCTTTCTCCGCCTTTTGATTAGGCTTCGGCGATCTGGCAGACTTCTTCTCTTCCTTGCCGGACTCTGTCGAGCCGGACACCTCGTCGGCACTGTTCTCCGAATCGGTGTGCCCGTACGAGCCGCTTCTGGCCGAAGCTGGTCTAGCGGCGGCTCTGGGCCCACCTCGTCGCCCTCTCGTCTCTGGACCACGCCAACCTCGGGCGTACACGCTGTACGTGCTTCCCCATTGGCGTCCACCCCGAGAGTCACGCACTCTCGAGTTCGATCCGCCGCTGTTCGTTCTGTTTCGAATGTTCTTCTCCCGTTTGTTGTTGTCTTCCTTCGCCTGCTGTTCCGCCGTCGCGTCCTCGTTTAACGAGTCCTCCCTTTTCTCCAGGCTCAACTTCTCGAAATTCTGCTTCGAATCTTCCGAGTCTTTCTCGCTTTTGATCGGTTCCAACGCTTTCTCCTCCTCTTTCTCGAACGTCGGAGAAACAGCGTCCGCCCACGCCTTTGGCGAATTATCGCCCCTCTCGATCATCCGATTGCTCTCGTTGACTCGATCGATTTTTCTATTCCAAACGTCCATCATCTCCTTCTTCGGCTCCATGGTCGACGAGATGGATTCCTTGATCGCTTGATCCTTCTTGTCCTGATCGGAGCTCGCTCGCTTCAACTGGGTCAGATTACGCTTCTCGCCCTTCAATTCGTCCGCCTCGATCCTCTCTTTAGTGACAGGGCCCAACGGCTGCCTCCGTTCTCTCTCTCGCTCTCGCTCTCGCTCTCGCTCGCGTATATCCTCGTGATACGCGTCGCGTTTATTCTCCTCGTAGTCGGCCACTTCGTTCACCCAGGAGCTGCAGTCCCGCAATTTGTGTGACTCGTCATCGCGTAGCGACGTCTTCGACTCTCGGGAGGCACGACTGTCGCGAGAATCTGGTCTCTGCGGACGTTCGTTGCGCTCCATTCGTTCCTCCCTCTGTATATCGCGGCGAGCGTCGATCATTCTGTCTTGAATGATGCGTTCCTCGCGCCATTCCGTACTCTCCGATCTTTCTCTTTGATCGCGGTCTCGTTCCCGCTCTCGTTCTCGTTCACGTTCCCGCTCGCGTTCACGCTCACGTTCACGCTCTCGCTCCCGTTCTCGTTCCCGATCACGATCACGATCACGATCACGATCGCGTTCACGATCACGTTCGCGGTCACGATCGCGGTCACGTTCGCGATCACGTTCGCGATCGCGTTCACGCTCGCGATTACGATCGTCGAAGGGATCCTACGGACAAACACAAGAAAAGGGAAAGTTGAGTCGTGAAAAAAATTTACAAGTCCCTGCGAGGAACACGTGTGTGTTACTAATACGAGCATTGTTAGAAATAATCTGAAATTTCGAATATTTGCAATAAACAAGTTGTTACAATGATGGATCGATAAGCGTGATGTAATAGTATAACAACAACAATAATAATAATTTAAAAAAAAAAAAGAGCTTAGCACCTTTAGATAATTATCGTAATCCTTTTTATCCTTGTTGTCTCTTTCTCGGATCTCTCTCGCTTCTCGAGCGTCCCTGGTTGCACGATTATCGCGAACGTCGCGTGTCTCTCGGTTATCCCTGGGCTCAATGCCGTCCTTCGACTCCCGATCCTTATTGTCGTCGAAGTATCTTTCACGTTCCCAAGAATCGCGCGAGTGTCTATCGTCGTAGTCGTGGTCTCTGCAGCTGCGAGTGTACTCGTCGTAGTAACCGGCTGGCTTGCGCGTGTCGTACGGCCGATGCGAGGAGTGACGATATCGATCGTCCCGGAGCAGAGATCCACGATAGTCTCGGGATGGAGGTCGATCGTCGTCCATCGAAGTGGAAATGTCCGAGTCCGTTCTGCTGCGTCGTTGCGAGGCACCATGGGACGACGATGCTTTCAAGCTGTTGTCTACTAACACAGGCTTCGTTGAATATGCTAGTAGCGGCTTTTCATATAAAATTTAAACAAAACAGTAAGGTTCAAATTTTTTCAGAAACAAAAATATTGATCGTGAGTTCTTTCGCCCTTCTAATAAATGTAATAATTTCTAAATAGTCGACATGTGTATATATATATATATATATATATATATATATATATATATTTAACTCGAACTTTTGCGCGTGTGTATATGAATACATGTGAAAATGCGTGCGTATAAAAGAAATATATATATATATATATATATATATACACATTTCGCACGTATGCGTGTACACAATTGATGGAAGCGACATAGTCGGATTAAAAATTATAACATTAATAACGCGACAAGACATCGTTTGCCAAGTCGCAAGGGGATTAATAAAATCGTTTACGAACAGATAAATTTCAAACACATTTTACAAACATTGAAAACTTTAGCACCCTCGACTGATTTATAACGTTCCTGTATTCTTTCCACCGACCATGCGCGCCCAATTTACCACCGTAAAGAAAAATCCAAAGAAAAATAAACAAATTAATATTTGCTTACAAATTACACTTACTTAAAGAGCTGTGGCCGTGAACCCATCTGCCAGGATCGTATTGCTGAGAAAATGGGACCGCTTGCGCGGCCGATCTTTCGGTATTGGGAGAAACTCGATTAAGACCGGCATTGATCTTTTCCGCTTGTTGCTTTTGAAATCGGGGTGGCAAGTTAGTTTTGTAATATCGCGAGAACGAAGCGTGCAGTTCACGATCCCTGGTATCCCTTTGATCGCGATCACGGTCTCGTTCTCTTTCGCGCTCGCTACGAATGCTGTCTTGCCTCGTGAAACCTTGTCGGTCCGCTTGTCGAAAGTCTGACATCAACTGATCGCGCGAGTCTCTGCCATCTTTTAGACCGTCTCTGTTTTCACGTAATTCACGGTTCAGCGACTTTTCGTCCTTCCCTTCGAATCGCTCCCGTTCTCTGTTCTCACGCTCCCTGTTCTCCCTCTCTCGCTCCCATTCGGGGACTGGAATCGGCACCGGAGGAACGCTTATCAGACCTTTCGATTCGTTGGCTTGCTTTTCCTTCAACTTCTGCTCCAAGTCTTGCAATTTTTTAGCTGCCGCTTGTCTGGTTGACTCCTGGTATCGTTTCTCCTCCTCTTCCTTCCGTTGGCGGGCACGCTCAACGGCAGACGCTACCTCGACGACTTTCAGTCTGCGTCTCTCGTTCCACGCCTCATCATCTTCCACACCTGTTTTCAAAGTGAAGATGAAAAAAAATATCACGAGCAAAAGCTAAAAACTTACGACATGATACAATACATGATACAATGTACATAACTGGTTTATGTACATATGAACGAAAATACGAATTCAACTCTATTTATAAATTTGTGTCTAAGCCACGTAAATGTGTTCTGACCTCTCAAAGAATGCACCGAATGCAGTTGCGACTGACCGCCGCTATAGGTACCAGACCCATTCGAGCCACGATAATCACGGGATAAAGAATTCTGAGTCCATGAACGATGAATTGCTTGATCACGAGATTCCTTCGAATCACGATTATTATCGTGAATGTCGCGGTTGTCGCGGTTGTCACGGTTCTCTCTCGTCTTCTCTTTGTCGTCTATCGAATTCTCTTCTACTTTCTCTTCCTTATTGTCTTTTTTTTCATCTTTCTTCGAGGGTTCAGGATCCGGCTCGTCGTCACTGAAGGCAAGCTTTTGATTGTAATCGATATCGTCGTGCGCTGCCCAGCCAGCATCGCGAGAAATATCGTCCATTCGTGTGAGATCTTCTTCCTTGATGATTGGCCGTGTAATGATTTCTTCTTCGGAAACGCGTTCGCGTTCTTGTTGACGAACCGGTGGAGGAGGGAATCGTTCTGAGGGATAATTGAATCGAGGTCTAGGTCCACCGGAATTTGCGTTTGCCGGGAATTGAGAAGGAAATCCGCCAGAAAAATTTCCTCTGTACATCTGAATGTAATCGAGAAAGTTGAATTAAATTAAATAACGCGATCGATGATACTTGAATAACATACTTAAATTAAAGATCTTACAAATGGAGGAATAAGTCCTCTGTAGTGATGTAGATTTGGACCGACTTGATGAGAACTAGAATTCAAAGCATTCTGACTATTCGAGGAATTATGAGGGCCTCCCTGGCCCATGCCCATGTTGGGAGACTGGACCAAGTTCTGTCGCCCTGTGGCAGATATGTCGGTATGTCCTCCTGATCCAGTAATGTTTAAAGGGGGGGCCTGGACCCCTGAACTCCCACTTCCAGGACCAGTAGTTGCGATTCCTGCACCACTGGCTGTACGACTTCCACCTTGTATCCAACTTCCTTCCGCTAATACAAATTATTTGTTTTATTCGATTAGAAAGAAATTCGAAGTATTTCGTGTTTCTAATATATAATAATTGAATTTTTAGTACTTTGGGGCCGTAAACTTGGTCCAGGTCCATACTGCGCATTTAATTCCCGATTTGCGGTTTGCTGTTGCTGCTGGTGCTGTTGTTGTTGCTGCTGTTGCTGTTGTTGCTGCTGCTGCTGCTGCTGCTGCTGCTGCTGTTGTTGTAATTGTTGTTGGCTTCCTGATACAGCACCTATATTTCAATATGAAGATATCGTATTAATTCAGATTTATGACAAATGCAAATATTAAAAATATATTATGTTTTGTATAAAGTAAGCGTAGCAGGTAATAATATACATAATTTAATAATTAACAAATTTATAAATGAGAGAAAAGAACAAAAAATACTTATTTATGTTGGTATAAATTTTTGTCATTAATCTACTGCGAAAATATAAATGTAAATAATAATAATAATAATAATAATAATAATAATAATAATAATAATAATAATAATAATAATAATAATAATAATAATAATAAT